AAAATTTTTCATATACTTGTTTCGTATCCTGTAAAATTATTTTCAAATGTACTATTCTGGTTTTAAATATAAAACTCATTTTGTAGTGCAATTGTCTAGGAAATGTGGGGAAAAGTTACGAACCAAAGTGTTTGGATGAAATTAAATTAATTCTTCCCGTTATAATATAAGATCTATTTTGTAGTGTAATGAAATATGATAACATTAGAGCGTAAATTCGGGCGGAGCAGCAGCTAACGTGTGTTGGTCCGAAAAGCATTCAAGAAATGCCTTGAATGTTACCATAATTTATTTTCTAAATTTTCAATAGAAAAATGAAAAGATTTTTGTGTTTGAATTCACAAAGTAATATTATTATTCACAAAAGATTACAAAAGGTCAACAGCTAATGCAGAGCATCAACATGCATCATCAGCTTAGAATAGACAGAAACGACGCGCTTGCATGGTATGGTCACACAAAAATGAAAAGATTTTTGAAGAGGATGTTTATGTGAGATGAATAATGATTTTCACCAAGATACAGAATTTCGGAAAACTACAAAATGAAATTAAAAAAATTTTAGCATAGGATCAGATATGCTCATTTAGGTGCTTTTTTTGGGGTTGACATTGACGTCTCATTGTACAAAGCATTGAGAGAGAGAAGGATGAAAATTGGGATTGAAATTAAAAAAACCTTTTAAAAGAGTATTTAAAATGAGTGATTAGTTACTCTTTGTAACTGAGCAAATTCATATAAGTAGAATTGAAGAATACCTTAAAAAGAAATGGTATTCTTCAATCTCACTTATATAAGTCTGTTCAATCTTAATTAACAAGTAATTCCTCATATCAAATCTTTTAATTTTTTTTTTAATCTCAATCACAATTCTTATATATAGTTCTCAATAATTCAGACCAAACACGTCCGTAGTTTCTAAGAATAATATATAAATGGAATGAAATGCCATGACAAGAAAAAAAAAAAGTTAAAATATACTCCCTCCAGTCCTATATACAAGCTTACTTTTAAAGAGATGTTTAGTCTAAAATATAAACTTTATTCTTGAATTTGTCTAAGTATTTATTATTATTTTTCTTATTATGCATTTCGTGGACTGTATTTAGTACTCTCTCTCTTATTAATATCACTCACATATATTCTCTTGCATCATTTTTTTATTTATTACCTCTCTCATTTACTGTCTTAATAAATAAGGCCAAATTGTTTTAAAAAATATTTTTGACTTATTATATTTTTATTAATTTTAACTGCTAATTTATTAAATGTAATTTGGTTATTTGAAGCTTTTATATAGATATATATATATATTATATATATATATAAGAGACCGAGGGAGTAATAATCATAGACAACATTTATAAAAAGAATGTAATAAAAATAATTAAAAAGTGAATATATAAAATTAATACGTATTATAGATTATGAGCGTAGACTCTCAATTTTTAAAATAGAATTATTAATTTCAATTTCAAAATTGGATGTTTTAATTTTAAATTAAATTAAATCATTTTATTAATGTAGAATTTCAAAATCTCAAATTTTTATTAGAATTCTATTTATTTTTTATTTTTGATCAAATCAGAGGAAAAATATGGGATACATGGGAATCAGTTATTTGTTGAAACCAAATTTCAGGTGAATCAATTTTAGACAATTAAAGTGTGTCCATCATATTTATTTATTTAAAGAATTTTTACATCACGTGAAAATTTGGACCCACACTATGGTCATGTGGGATGCAGACCGACGAAAGCATGTGGTTCAGAAAAAGCCGTAAAAGCATATTCCAACTTTTCGCGGAATATTTCTGGGGACCTTTGGAGCTATTATCTACCTCCCAGCTTTAAAAGCCTGTATTTTTTTTTTTCGGTTCTAATTATTTTAGAATTTAATTGTTAATAAAAGAGTTAGTTGAATTTTAGTGTGATTTTAAATATAAAATTTTAATTTATTTTGTCTCTCATATTTATCTATTTTTTAAAACTAATTCTTATAATAGTTATACTACATGTTAAAGATTTTATCAGTTTTAGTTAATAGACATAATTAGCAAATATATTTTAAAAAAGACCATCTATTTATTATGAATAACTAACTTAATAATTTTTTTTAATATGTTTAAATTAGTTAATTAACTATTATGTCGAAGACAAAGGGCAGTAATTAGGACTGTGGAGCCTCCTTCTTATCCCGCCATCACACACGCACTGACGCGAGCACATAATAATTGAGATTCACTGAAAAGCAACACTGCAAATTGAGACGTTCCTGCTATTAGGTGCGTATACTCAATCTTCACGTCCGCGTACATGGACTTTATATGATGGATTACCCGTAATAATGTGATATCATTTGATTGAATTGCAGGTGATGCGTTATTGTGTGGGGCCTTTTTGAAAATGTGGGCACAACTGAAGTTCGGGCACACTGGGATTTCCTTCACAAGGATCTCTCTCCACTTACTCTTGCATAGAACCATAGCGCTAACCACATCAGTCACTTTAAGCATCAACTCCCCAGTTCATCCACGTAACCCGTTCCCTTATCCCACAAATGGATGGGTTGCATTCAACAGAATAATACAAAACCAATGGTATGCCACGACCCACGAAAATGCTTCTACTTAATTGAATTATTAACTACATCTTATTTTAAGGGCTAAAAAACAGTATAATATTTTTGACAATTATTGTATCACAATAAATAAATTATCTTCAAAAGTCAACATCAATTTTCATGAGAAATGAATCAATTGAAATAATAAAATATAAATAAAATGACTTGATATCTGTGGTGAAGCATGTGGCGAAGCAGGGGGTTTGGGAGGTTTCTTGAAGGCAGAGCATTTGAACCGTCGGATTAACGGAATGGATGAGATCCTACCGTGTCACCCAGCAAATCCAAATCCTCAGATTTGGTTCGGAGAAGGGCAAAAAGGGAAAAAAACTCGTATCTCAGATCTCAGTCCATCCCATTATCTCCCTCAATGATTGGTGGTGCATTGTCGCAGAATTGTGTTTCATCATAATTCCTAAAGTATTCCCAACCCGGTAGCTTACTTTTGGACAACAAAAGAAGAAATTTAAAATGTTATCCCGCAAAAGATACATGAGAGAGAAAAACAAGGCATCTTCGCGGACCCCAAAAAAAAAAAAAGATGAGATGAAGTGGGAGTTGAAGGAATACAAGATGGGAAGGATAATTAAGAGACGTATCGCTCTAGCCCAAATCGAGCAGAAGGAAGGAGGAGATGAAGGGGAAGCAGAAGTTCGAGAATATTCTTATCAATTGGGCCCCTTCTCATCTTTCTTAAAGACTTTAACAAGCAGAAGCTATTCACGCACCAGTCGAGGATCTGATGTTAGGCACATGAATTCAACGAGCCAGATAGGAACTGATAATTCATACGATTCAAATTTTCTTGGCCACACATCTGCAACAACAACCGCAGATTGGCGACATCAGCTTTTTGCCCTCAGTACCAAGTTGTGACAAGGGTTTACCGAGCAGCGTTACCAGTAATCCGGCAACGGTGCCACTACAGGAAACTCCGGGAGTTGGGAAATGCACATGATGTGGTTACGATGATTTTTGGCGTTAAATGAAAGTTACCTGTCATGTGAAGTATGAAAAGACATGCATGGCGATTAGGAAAAGATCCTCGGGAAAACAGGTGTGATGGGGACGATTGCCTAAAGTACAGGCCTAAAAGAGCTATATGGCAAGCTGATGGGTCATGATCACCCATTTAAGGAGCCGGACATAATGGAATAGATGCTACGCACGCAATGAGGTGAGGTCCACGAATTTAACAGAATAAGGAGGGATGGGAGCGGGGGATAAAATATAACTGAGCACCGCACCGGCGGATGCCCATTTCTTAAGTATCCATGATATTACCTAGATTTCTTGATATAAGAGTTAATTGGTTAATTAATTAGATTAAAAAAAATTAGTTAAATCAGTTATTTGTAATAAATAAATATTATTTTTTCTAAAAATCTCTACTAATCAAGTGTTGACTATAACCATTATTTTATAATGACCATCTTAAAATAAATAATAAATATGAGAGATAAAATAAATTAAAATCTTTATTTAAAATCAAAATAAAAATAAAAATAAATTTTTATATTAATTTTTATTCACACCATGATTCGGACTCCTTCGCTGGCGACAATACCAGCGCTAGCTGATGCCATTTCATTATGCCATTCCTAACCCAATCAATACCCCTTGATTTTCCTTCCTTGTATTATTGCATTTTATATTCGCGGTCTCTTTCTTGCAATTCAACAAAACTAATAAAAAATCCGATCTGACGAGAGAGAAAATAGAGAGAGAGAGTCTGGGTGTGAGTGAGCGCATTATGGCAGATGAGAGAGGTCCCCGCAAACTGCCGCCGGATCGTCCACAGGGCGAGACGGTGGTGGAAATGACGGACATCCCTAGTAATATTCCGAGAGTACTTTAGATAGTGTGGGAACAATGGTTCCCTCATCTTTCCCAGAGCTGAAGAAAATGTCGACAGAGCTGAGTGATGGAAAAGAGAGAAAGAAAGAGTGTTACAAAGAGTGAGAGGCCATACACGGAGAAGTTTCTTAGCAGCTAGAGAGGGAAGACTGGATGATGGACCAGGATTTGGACCTCAGAAGCAACCGGAGCACGTCTTATCGTATATAGAGAAGCGTTAAAGCCTAAGTCACGGCAGAGGAGAATCACAAGAATCAATATCAAGAAGATGACTGGGATGGAGTTTACTGTTTAACAGTAATGAAGAACTGCTAGAGGGCGTAACAATCACGGACTCTGATTTGGGTCCGAAGATCGTCTTCTAGAGAAAGAAAAGAAAACGACTGGAGCGAAGATGGGATAAACACACTGATCATAAAGTTGCTTGGAGGGACAATCGGTTTCATGCAAATGAGAAGGAAAGCGAAGGTAATGTGGGGAAAATCTGGAAACGTCGAATTGAATGATATAGGCAATGGTTTATGACAGCAACTTTTCAAAGTCGAGATGATTACTTCTTCGCGTTAGAAGGTGGTCCATGGCTCATTCAAAACCATTACCTTACAGTGCAAACATGGAAGAGAAACTTTAATCCTTGGAACGAAAAGATTCAGAAACTCGCGATATGGGTTAGACTTCCAGGGCTTCCAGGTGACTATTACGACAGGAAGTTTTTCTACAACCTAGGCAACAAAATAGGGACAGCTATCAAAGTGGATGAGATGACTTTAACAAGAGCCAGGACAATGTATGCTCGGCTGTGTGTCGAGATTGACCTGAATGCTCCGTTACTCCCGTCGTATTTTGTAGATGGCAACTGGCTCAAAATAGAATACGAAGGTCTACATATGATATGCTTCCAATGTGGCAAGTTTGGACATAGTTCAGAGAGATGCCCGTCGAAAATTACTGCACAAAATCCAGATGCTGGCTGGAAAGTCGGTGCAAGCACAGGCGCAGGAAAAGAAAGACGCTGAAATCAACCAGACACCGCCGGTTAGCACTCCGGCAAATCCGTTTGGAGAGTGGATGGTGCACAAGACTCAAGAAGAGGACGTAAGCACCTGCACAAGGAGAGTAGGTCGGCTGAAGGTCAGAAAAGAGAGGTCAGACACTATAGAGAAGTAAGAAATGCATCGAGATTTGCTATTCTGGAAGATGAAGGTGACAAGCTGGAGAAAAGAGGGGAAGAGGAAGAAAGTAGCCGTACCTTGGTTGACATAACCAATGAACCACATCTGAGGGAGACTAGCAAGAAAGAAGAAAGAGTGCAGCTTAGAAAAAAGGCTACGGACGGTAGGAAGGAGTTAGAAGACAAGGAAGGGAAAGGAAAAGGAAGAAATAAAGGGAGTGGCAAAAAGGAGGCTAAGGAGGAAACAAGTACTGAGAAGCACCCGGAGTCCAAAAAAGAGTGGGCCCAAGAAGAAAAGAATGGAAAAAGAAGGCGTAATAGGAAAGGAGAAAAATAAAAGGACTATAGGGGGTATCCGAATTGGGCCACAAAAGTGAGGAAAAGACTGGGCTAAGGGAGGACATGCTTATGGAATATGAGGGGGAAAGTCAGCATGGGCCCATTATTGCCCAAAATGAGTC